GTCAGTGTGTCTGCAGGGCTGTCCAGTCCTGGTCCTGGAGGGTCGGTCAGTGTGTCTGCAGGGCTGTCCAGTCCTGGTCCTGGAGAGACTGGTCAGTGTGTCTGTGTCCCTCACCTGAGTCCTGGGCAAGCTCGGGGGAGAGGCGAGGATCCTGGGACAGCACCTCCAGGATGTCCCTGCTGCCCCCTGCAGGGCCCGTGGAGAACAGCATCCTGGAGTCCCGTCTCTCATCCCTGCGGATGGTCCTCTCCGCCTTGGGCATGGTGAGGGCACGCTCTCTCTCGCAGCCTGCGGGCAAGGGTTCGAGTTCACTGCCGCACAGGACAGCGCCACAGTGGAGCAGTGGGCAGCACCGCTGCCTCGGAGCTCCGGGGCCCTGGGGTGCTGTCTGTGTGGAGTCTGCATGTTCTCCCCAGCTTTGCATGGATTCATTTCCCAGACATGCTGATGGGATTATTATGAATATGATTGGCATCTGGGGAAACGGGCCCTGGTGTGAGTGAGTGCGTCTGTCTGCCCTGGGACTGTACCCAGCTGACTGATGGGATAGACTCCAGCTCCCCCGACCCTGAGTCGGAAGCAGTGGTCCGAGACCTCCGGGAGCTCGTTTTTCCGCTCTGAAGCAGTGAGAACTCGCTCTGGGGTCGCGCCCGTTTTGACAGGAAGACGAGGAGCTCAGGCTCCGCAGGGACGTCCCTCCCAGGATCAGAAGCCAGACCCTGACCAGCCTGACTTCTGTCCTTCCCCACTGTTTGGAACATCACTGCAGCAGGTGTCAGCTGCTGCAGAAACGTGACTTTGCTACCCGCTCCTACAGAGGGGGCATCTCACTGGGGCAAAGCGAGCCCACGAGCCCCAGCCTGGAGCCCGCAGCTGCGGGTCATGACTGTGCTGCTCGTGAACGGCACGGCCCACCACAAACAGCAGGAAGCAGAAGTGCTGAGCTCAGGCCGCGCTGCTCTGTGGTGGAAAGAGGCCCCGTTACCCGCCCACAGGGAGCGGACACGGGTTCGGCTCGGGCCGACACTCGGGAGAACGGCAGCCGGAGCTCAGGCGCAGGACGGTTCAGAGCACATGTGGATCGTAACCAGACAGCTGGGCCGCTCTGCTCGGGGAACTGAAGCGCTGGAAGACACGGACCGGACCGAGCTCGCCCGTCCAAACAGGGCACAGAGGACAGGCTGAGAGGAAGGGGTTGCGTTAGATAAAAGCCTTGTCGAAGCTCAGAGACAGCTCTTGGAAAGACTCCAAATTATTATTTTAAAAGAAAACACCTGAAACCTTGTAAGCAGCCTTATAATGTGGTAATAATTTACAAACTTCTGGGGAAAAGGGGTGCTTTCCGCCCGCAGAGTCAACGAGACAACAGCCAGGAGAGATATTTTCAGAAAGGCGGAGCTTCAGGCGGAGGAGTTTTCCTTCCGCTCGTAGCAATCGGCAGGAAGTGAGTTTGTTTCCATCGCCGCTGGCCGGCGGGGGGTCCGGCCGGGCCGGCCAGCAGGAAGGCTGCTGTGGGCATCGCGGAGACGAGCCCGCAGCGCTCGCACCCCGCAGACAAGGTCCGGGAGAGCTGGACCCTCGCCTTTAAAGGCAGGGAAGGACATTTCATTTAGAACAACTTGCACGGAAAGCAAGGTGCGCTCGGACGGACACCGTCCAGCTCCGATAACAATGAAGATCCCCTGAGCTACAGCCGCAGCCTCAACTTCTGTCTGTCATACCAGGAGGTCAGACGACTTGAGCCCTTTTCTTTAAAAAACAGGTCTACATCTCTACAAGCCCCTCTGCTCGCTATCAGTCACCAGGGCGACAGATGGGGGGGGAGAGGGGTATGTTCCCACCCGATGAAAGAAGGAACAAGAAATGCCCAAAACTTACCCGATTTCGCCTGCTCCGAGCATAGCACTGATGACGTCACCAGCCCTGGCCGTCACAGCCCAATGATGTCAGAGCGAGGAGCGTGGTTACATCAGAGGGGGGCGGGCCCTTCATTGTGCTGCGTCCCCCATTGGCGCAGTGCCGATATTCACAAAAGCGGCCCGCAGGTTCGGTAAAAGAAGAGTAGAACACAGGGCCAGCAGCTGTGACACCGGTCCAAAGGAGTCCAGTCCTGGTTCTGGATAAGCAGCACCTTACTGTCTGAACTGGACTAATTAAACAGGTTCCAACAGCTCATCCGGTGCTGTAAAACGAACAAAATTACCCCATTGAGCTGAATGGCTCTGAACAAGCAGTAATAATAATAATAATTGCTTACACTTATATAGCGCTTTTCTGGACACTCCACTGAAAGCACTTTACAGGTAATGGGGATCCCCTCCAACACCCCCAGTGTGCAGCCCCACCTGGATGATGTGACGGCAACCATAGTGCGCCAGTACTCTCCCCACACATCAGCTCTCAGTGGGGAGGAGAGCAGAGTGATGAAGCCAGTTCAGAGAGGGGGATTATTAGGAGTCCATGATGGGTAAGGGCCAGGGGGAAAATTTGGCCAGGACGCCGGGGTAACACCCCTACTCCTCTAGAGAGACACTCTGGGATTGTTAATGACCACGGAGAGTCAGGACCTCTGTTTTACGTCTCATCCGAAGGATGGTGCCTGTTTACAGTATAGTGTCCCCGTCACTACACTGGGGCATTAGGACCCACATGGACTGCAGGGTAAGCGCCGCCTACTGGCCCCACTAACACCTCTTCCAGCAGCAACCTTAGTTTTTCCCAGGAGGTCTCCCATCCAGGTACTGGCCAGGCTCCACGGCCAAAATTGTGTGTTTTGTTTCCTCTATTTTTCAGCATGGAATAAACCTATTACTTGTTCCTGTCTCATGAATTAAGTTTAATAGTTATATCAGCTTTGCCAACATACAGTGCAGGTTGTTCCACACCCCCACCACCCTGTGTAAAGAAGCCCTTCCTGTCCTGACTGGGGGATCTCGTCCAGGTGTGTCCTGGGACCAGGGAACCGGTCTCAGTAACAGGGCTGTGCAGCTTGGCCGGGTCAAGGGTCAAGGGTCAAGGGTCAAGGGTCAAGTCAGACAACAGACCTCTCCAGACTGAATCACTTTATTGGGCTTCCAGAAGAATCACAAACAAGTCCTGCAACTCTCACACCAACACACTCTCACTCGCTCGCTCGCGCGCACACACGCACGCACGCACACACACTCTCACTCGCTCGCGCACACACACACACACAACACCGAATCTCCCGGCACTGCGGCAGGAGTAAAAGTCAGCCAAGCTTATTTCTTCCCAGGCCAGGACACAGTCCCAGTGTCCCAGGTTCTGGCCTGGGGCCTCTCGAACCTGGAGCCGGTACCAGTGCCAGTGCAGTCCCAGTGTCCCAGTGGCCTCTCGAACCCGGAGCCGGTACCAGTGCCAGTGCAGTCCCAGTGTCCCAGTGGCCTCTGGAACCCGGAGCCGGGCGGCCTCAGATCTGCCCCTGCGCGTGCTGCATGTAGTGCTGGTGCAGGTCCAGCTCGCGGGGGTACGACCGGCCGCAGATCATGCACTGCAGGCGCCGGTCCACCGGGGGGCGCTGCAGGGCAGGGCTGCCGGGGGCGTGGGGGCGCCTGTCCTTCTGCGGCTGAGGCTGAGGCTGAGGGGCCCCCCTGTCTCCCGGGGGCCGCGCCGGGGGGGGCACGGAGCCACGCTTCAGGTCCTCGAGCCGA